TATTATATCATTACTGGCTAACAAATCTCCAAGGCACAATAATTGGTTAGTCCTTACATTATTGGTGTTCTTGAGAACGTGCATGTTCTCACACACTGAATGAATCAAGTGTTATCAAATGAGTGAATGTTACAAATTATACTTTGTATCATCCCGTGCCCTTGATACCTGGGAACACTGCAAGCAAAGAATAGCTGACAGGCAAATATTTTCTGCAGATCGCTGCAGTTTTTGCTTACACGTGTAACCTCAGTTCCAAGGACCATTCAGATGATTCACTGTAAAAACCCTACAGAGGGAAGCCTACAAGAAAAATGATTGATGGGAAGAGCTGTGGTGGGATCATAAATATCGAGGAGCCTCATTGCTGGGGAATTCTGGGAGTTGAAGTCCACAAACCTTGGACTTCAGAGTAGCCAAAGTTGGAGACCCCTGCTCTAGATCAGCAGGGGTTCTGTTTTGAAAACCACACCAACACCTGAAAACTGACATGATATTGTGCTTTGTGTGCATTTGCATGCATTTGATATCTAAAAGCATATCGACTGCTAGAGAACTTGTGGTTCAAGAGGGGGTGGGATCCACAACTCAGGGAAACCAGCTGATCTCACTTTTAGGAAATCCCTTCTTATTTCCAGGTTAGGTCTCTCTAATGGCTTCCACCCTTTGCTTCTTGTTCTCTTGCCTAGGAAGAATAAATTGATCTCTGTGAAAACCCCTTCAAGGATTGGACAGTGGTTATCAGGTCTCCCCTCAGGCTTTTTTTAGCCATTTTTCATAGTATTTAGACCTCTTGTTATTATTGTTCTTCTTTGCACTCTTTCTAGGATCTCAGCATCTTTTTTGTATTATGATGATCAGAACTAAACATAGTATTCCAAGTGTGGCCTCACCAGTGCACTATAGAGTGGTACTATCACTTCTCATGAGCTTGACACTAAGGTGTGGCCCATTAGGACACCCAGATCTCTCTCACAGTTACTACTGTTCATCCCGGGGCTGCCTAGTCTTATACCTGTGTGTTTGGTTTTTCGTGCCTAAGTGCAAGAGTTAAATTTTTCTCACCACTGAACTACACCTCGTTGGATAGGACCCAGTGCTCAAGTCTGTCAGGATACTTTTGAATGTATCTTCCAAAATGTTAGCAATTTCCCCAACCTTTGTGTTATCCTGTCAGGCCCAAAGCAAAGAATGACACATATTGATTATTCCAAGCAGCATTCTTTATGGTTTCACACCTGTAGACAAAATCTCGCCAGACTAAGGACTCTACTATCTGCGTCTACCATACACTGTGAGAACTATTAGGGAGGGACCGCATTCACCCTCTTTCTCTCACATAAGGTATGTGGGCTGTGTTGCCTTTTATTTCCCTTGAATGCACCGTCTCCCTCTTACACCCCACATCCACAGAATTAGAATTTAGAATAGAATAGAATAGAATAGAATAGAATAGAGCTGGAAGGGACCTTGGGGGTCTTCTATTCCCACCCCCTGCTCAAGCAGGAGACCCCTAGACTATTTCAGACAAGTGGCTGTCTAGTCTCTTCTTAAAAACTTCCAGAGATGGAGCATCCACAATTTCTGAAGGCAACTTCTGTTCCACTGGTTAATGGTTACAAAGTTCCTCCTTACCGTATTTTTCTGAGTATAAGATGCAGCTTTTTTCCTCAAAAAAAAAGGCTGAAAATCTGGGTGCATTTTATACACCGAATACAGCATTTTTTGCCTCCATAACCCCGCCCCCTTCACTATAATGGCCATGCATAACATTATGGAGGCTTTCAGAGAGCTCCTGGGGGCTGGGGAGGGCAGAAATGAGCAAAAAACTGGCTGTTTTTTGCCCCCAGCAGCACTCTATAAGCTTCCTAAAGGCTATCCATGCAATTTGTTTGACACAAAATGGGCCCATTTTTTGCTTGTTTTTGCCCCCCCCCCCCCAAGCACTCTGCAAGCCCCCCAAGGCTATTCATACCTTTTTTTAAAAACGGGCCCATTTTCGCAAAAAGCAGGCTGTTTTTGGGAGGTTTGCAGAGTGCAAAAAGTTTTTTTCCCCTTTTGGAAAGCTCTTTAACTGATTGATGAGAATTA